ACTCCGTCAGAAGGAGCGCTCTGTGTGCGCATATGCGTCGGAGTTCCGCACCATCTCCGCCAAGCTGCACTGGGATGACTCTGCCCTTCGAGCCGTCTTCTTGGAGGGACTGGCAACCTACATCCGGGATGAGATGGCGGGAAAGGAGCTGCCCCAGACCCTGGATGAAGTGGTGGATCTGGCGTTGCGCATAGATCAGCGGGTTTTGGTTCGGCCCAAGCCCCTCATTCACCCATCCAGGGCGCCTGGACCTTTTCCTCGTCCTCCCACGCCTTCTCCCGGACCCGTTGCTACTGAGGAGCCCATGCAACTGGGCCACCTTCCTCCAGAGGAGAGACAGTGACGGTGGCGCGAGGGTCTCTGCGCCTATTGTGGCTCCTCCGACCACAGACGCATGAACTGCCCACTCCGTTCGGGAAACGAAGGAACCCACTGAGTCTCGGGGTCGCTCAGCCTGGGTTGCCTCCAGCCCCTGCCCTTTCCAATCGGCTCCTTCTGCACGTCACCCTCCTATACGGCGAGACCTCGCTCCAGATGCACGCGCTGGTGGACTCGGGTGCCGCTGACAATTTTATGGATGTGGACCTGGCTAAACGCCTACTGATCCCCACTACCCCCTTGGAGAGGGTTGTACCAGTGACTACGGTGGACGGCAGGCCCCTCCAGCCTTACCCTGTCCAAAGCCGAACGCAGTCCCTCCAGATGACAGTCCAGGGCCACCGGGAAATCCTTCATTTCCTGATCATCCGTGCTCCCTCCTCTCCTCTGATCCTGGGGTTTCCCTGGCTCTGCCTCCACGACCCACGGATCTCCTGGTCTCAAGCTCGCCTTCTAGAATGGGGGGCCCATTGCCGGACCCACCTCTCTCCTCCTCCACCCCGACCTGACTGCCCGGAGAGTGGCTCCGGTTCCGCACCGCCCAATCTACCACTGCCCTATCGGGACCTGGCCGTGGTGTTCGATAAGCAGCGAGCCACCGCGCTGCCGTCTCACCGTCCATACGACATGGAGATCAAGCTCCAGCCAGGGACCAGTCCACCCCGGGGGCGCCTTTTTTCTCTCTCTCCTGCCGAGTCCAGAGCTATGGAGGACTATATCGACCAGGCCCTCCAGCAGGGTTTCATCCGACCCTCGTCGTCCCCAGGTGCCGCAGGCTTCTTCTTTGTGAGGAAAAAGGAGGGTGGTCTCCGTCCCTGTATAGACTACAGAGGACTGAACAAGATCACAGTCAGAGATCGCCATCCTCTGCCACTCCTCACGTCCGCCCTGGATGCCATCTCCCAGGCACGGATTTTCACCAAGCTGGACCTCCGGAGCGCCTACAACCTGGTCCGTATCAAAGCTGGAGATGAGTGGAAGACGGCGTTCATCACCCCCACCGGTCACTGGGAGTACCAGGTCATGCCCTTCGGACTGTGCAATAGCCCCGCCGTTTTCCAACGCTTCATCAATGATGTCCTCCGTGACATGTTGGGACGGTGGGTGTTTGCCTACCTGTATGACATCCTATCTACTCCAAGTCAGAGGCCGAACACCACCACCATGTTCGCGCTGTCCTGACCCGGCTTCTGGACAACAACCTGTTCTGTAAGCCCGAGAAGTGCTCCTTCCACCAGCGGTCCGTTTCATTCCTGGGCTACCTGATTTCGGATCAAGGTCTGACTATGGACCCTCAGAAAGTCCAGGCGGTGAAGGACTGGCCCCTACCAACCAGCCTGAAGCAACTGCAGAGTTTTCTGGGTTTCTTCAACTTTTACCGTCGATTTATCAAAGACTTTAGCACCATTGTAGCACCTCTCACCTCTCTCACCCGACCAAGCCCACCTGGTCAACCGTTCCGGCTCACCCCAGAGGCCGTTCGGGTCTTCCACTACCTAGTCACTCGTTTCACATCGGCTCCTATCCTGCGCCATCCGGATCAGGCAGTCCCTTTTGTGGTCGAGGTCGACGCCTCGGATGTCGGCGCCGGCGCCATCCTGTCCCAAGGCGGCCCAGATGACAGGCTACATCCCTGCGCCTACTTCTCCAGGAAGTTTTCCACCACCCAGCAGAAGTACGGCGTAGGGGATCGCGAGCTGCTGGCCATAAAATGGGCGTTGGAGGAATGGAGGCAGTGGCTTCTAGGCACCACTAAGCCGTTCACCATCTGGACTGACCACCAGAACCTAACCCACATACGGTCCGCCAAGCAGCTAAATCCTCGCCAGGCTCGCTCGGCCCTCTTCTTCGAACCCTACGAGTTCCATCTCGCCTATCGCCCCGGGACAAAGAACCAGAAGGCGGACGCCCTCTCCCACCAGTTCACACATTCAGCGCCCACGTCTGAGCCGGCACCCATCCTCCCGGAGCATCGTTTCGTGCCCCACCTTGGGTGGCCATTGGAGGAGGCCATCCAAAACGCCCTCCGGGATGACCCAGCGCCGCCAGAGACCCCCGCCGGTCGGCTCTACGTCCCCACGGCCTGTCGCAGTGAGGCGTTGGCCTGGGCCCACTCATCACGCCGGTCTGGTCACGCAGGCTTCTCTCGGACTCTCAAGTTCCTGAAACGGGCTCTCTGGTGGCCACGTATGGAGAGGGACGTTAAGGAATTCACGAGCGCCTGTGACGTCTGCGCCCGCTCTAAGGCATCCACCCAGGCTCCAGTTGGCACCATCAGACCTCTTCCGGTGCCCAGCCGCCCCTGGTCCCATGTGGGGCTGGACTTCGTCACAGGTCTCCCGCCGGTCAACGACCTCAACACCATCCTGACGGTCACTGACTGGTTTTCCAAGGCTGTTCACTTCATCGCCCTCCCGGGCTTCCCCTCGGCCCGATGCACTGCTGAACTGTTTCTGGAGAACGTGGTGCGTCTCCACGGGTTCCCGGTCGACGTGGTCTCAGATCGTGGCCCCCAGTTCACGGCCCGTTTCTGGAAGGCCTTCTGCCATCTAGTGGGAGCTTCTGTCAGTCTGTCTTCGGGCTATCACCCACAGACCAACGTTCAATCGGAGCGGGCGAACCAACAGTTGGGCCGGTACCTCCGCTGCTTTGTCTCGGCCCAGCCTTCGCAGTGGCCTAAGTACCTCCTCTGGGCGGAACTGTCTCATAATCTCCACACCTCCTCGGCCACTCAGATGTCCCCTTTCGAGGTCTGCTACGGCTACCAGCCCACAGTCTTTGCCCACCAAGAACCCGAAGTCGCGGTGCCGGCCGCTCAATCCCTGGTGCGGCGCTGCAAGAACGCATGGATCAAGGTGTGGGCCTCCATTACCCGGGCCAACGCCCGTTACTCACACCAACACCTCTGCAGGCACCGCCCGGGTCCCTCCTATGCTTCAGGGGACAAGGTCTGGGTGTCCACGGCAGGCCTCCGGGTCCATGCCAGTTCCAGGAAGCTCGCTCCCTGGTTCCTCGGGCCCTACCCCGTGCAGAAGGTCATCAACCCGGTCACGTACCGGCTGCGGCTGCCTACAAGCCTTCGCGTCCATCCCACCTTCCACACCTCCCGGCTCAAGCCTTACATGGAATCCTCCCTCCTGCCGCCTCAGGCTCCAGCGCCTCCGTCGGCCCGCTTCCTCGACGGTGAGCCCATCTACACCGTCCGGCGCATTCTGGACGCTCGCCGCCGGGGTCGGGGCTGGCAGTACCTCATAGATTGGGCGGACTACGGCCCCGAGGAACGCTCCTGGGAGCCGGCCCGCTCCATCGTGGACCCTGCCCTCATCTCGGACTTCTGGGCCCACCGATGTGGCCCGGGGACTTCTGGAGCCGTCCCTGGACTGGGGGGTCCTGTCAGAGTCCAAGCCCCCAGGCCGGGCTCTCCCAGATGACCGGCTTCCGTCTGGGACCACATTACCCAGCATGCCCCTCGCGGGGATTCCCTCCACGTTGCACCTGCGTCAATCCATGTCTATATATGGAAGACGCCACACCGGCTCTTCACTCAGTCATCGTTCCACTGTGATCCATGATCAGAGTATTCCGAAGCTAATACAGCTAAACCTCTACCTTTCCTCCTCAGACCTCATCCAACCGTCAGCCTTTCCAGCATCACTTTCAGCCAGCAGTCTGTAATAAAAGCTCGTACTCCCGAACCCAGTCTTCGAGTCTGACACCTCTGGTGCTGTGGTCCTCTGGAGATAATGAAGCTTGCCAATCAAAATTTTCAGTCGAATGAAGTAATAAGCTGCTGTGGTGATGTACGTTGTTTATTTTTTTAAGATAATGATGAACACAGCTGGTTGGGAGAAGGTGGGGAACGGGTGGAAGATTGGTTTAAGTGCTGGAGAGAGCAACAGCTGGTTCAGAAGAAAGGTCTGCAAGAGGGTAAAGCTTGTGAGAGGAAAAGAACATCTTTCAGCACCACAGAACGCCAGGACTGGGAGGAAGATGGACTGCATCTGACTAAGGCTGCTGATGTAAGGAAGGGAGTAAAGCTCGCTTATGCAGAAGTTCTTCAGTGGGACACAGTAGAGCTGAGTTCTTGTTGTTATTTCTAAGATCTCAGCTGACAGAGCTTTTCCAGCTTTTCCTCAGGTTTTGTGAATCTAGAGTTAAATTTCTGGAGCCTGGTGGTCTGGGCCTGGTGGCAGAGCCAGGTTACCTATAGCCAGTCTGCTAAGTGATGTTGCTCAGTTATTTCCTCTTTTCAGTAAGAAAAATGACACAACATTCAGGTCTTGACCTGAGGATTTATTTGCTGTTGGCATTGTTCAGTTTTTTTTTTCCTTTTTTGCAGGAACTCGGGGGGGGGGATCGGGAAACTTATTGGTTGACGTTTGCATAGGTCTCACCTGTCAGTGGACAGCAGCCCACTTTGGAGATGAAAATCATCACATCACACAGAACCATGCAGAAATAGCAAAAGGCCCAATCACCATAAATATATCAGATACACAATTTTGTTTACGCTTATATAATTCCTTTTCATGAAGGAGCGTGAGGAGTGAACTAACTGAGGTGTAGGTGAAATGGTTTTAAGCCGCCATCATTCTAGAGCACAGCATGAAACACAAGAAACGTTCAGAATTCAATGCCTTTAGTTGAAATACTCTTCTAATATATATGTGGAAAAATACAAGCAGTTATATAGAATATTTATAATACATTTCTCTTTTATTTATGGAAACTATTTATCTCCTGCCTCATTTGGCCCTTGCTTTCATCCCCTCTGTCACACATGCCAGGTGACACCGTTCCAGACTGGGATGGCCTTCCCTCTGAAAACTGCACCTTTAAACGATAGTGGAAATGTTTTGAATTGGGTTTTTGTGGAATAGTTATGAACAAATAAAATCTAACCTGTTGCAGACAGCTCTTTGAGCAGCCAATTAGACAGACAAGCTAACGGCTAATCACACCAGGACCTATTCCAACGTGGGTTTATGCTCCAACCTCAAAAATTCAATAGTAGTCCAAAATCTTTTTTTTTTTTTTGAGTCAGTTGTTCATTACATTACTAACTGGGCAGAGAAAAAAATGAGATTCTGACTGTAAGCATTTCAGTTGAACAGGAAGTATTACGGACCATTAGCTCAGCAGCCAGATTTGCTGAAAACCTGATAACTTTAATATAAAAGTATATGAAAAGTGTTCATATCGACCAATTACGAGATTAGAGTTGGCAACAGAACTGACTAGCCTTTAGCTATCAATCCAGTGGAACTAATCTTTGTCTCCTTAAAATTGATGCTGCTTAAAAAGCTATTCATAACAGGCAAGATGTTAATTCTTCATATCATTTTCATAAAAACACACTTCAAAAATATTAACTCCCTGTATTGATAATAAATAAAAACATTAAAATATTTGGCATTTGGATGGTGTAAATAAGTTTAAAAAAGGATTTAGACCGCAGTTTTGTCTGTGGTGACATATATTTTTCTTTTACACACATTCACCTTTGACCTCTCATTATGACACCATACATGCTGTTTTTCCAAACACACAAACATTTTTCTCATCCTGAGGCACCTTCAATAGCAAGCATTGGAAGAGTTTAAATTCCTAAACAAATGCTTTCTGTGTGTGTGTGTGTGTGTGTGTGTCACCTCAGATACCCAGCACAAGATCATTCGACAGGATATATGATATTCATCTTCAAAACAAACAAAAACAGGATATTATTGGTGTTTTATCATAAATTAACACGCATTGAGTGCACATACTTTTTCCATTTAAAGTATTACTGTCAGACAGGAAAAAAGAGGAATAAAGGAGAAATTAATAATGTCAGACACTGTTATTGGGAATCCAGAGAGAGTTTTAAACGCACCATCTGTGACGTTAGATGCAGCCGGTGCTGGACCCTCTAGAGGGCAGTGTTTTCCTGTGGCACATCAACTCTGAGTCTGGTGCTGTTTTTATACTTATTATGAAACTGACTGGGGTAATGACACCACTTCCATGGTTGGAAAATGAGCACTGAGGTGAAGTTTTCATCAGTTCCACCAGACATAACGTTATGGACTCGAGTCCTGAGAGGCTTTGACATCTAACGGAGCATCATAAATCGGTTTCTTATATTTACAAGAGAAAATAAAAGACAAGCATTCATGTTTTTCTTTTTTTTCCCCCACTCCACATAGGAGTTCGTAGCATTTAACTCATCGGTACACCTTCCCACACACAGTCAGGATCAAAACAAAAATGGAGGGAAAAAAATCACAAAAAAGACAAAAAATGAAGAACTGCTTAAACTTTGACTCACAAAATATTCGACAGTGCAAACTGACATCCATGTCTCAGATCATTTTTACAAACATTAGTATACACTTGAGCACCATTGTTTACTATTGTTGTTGAATACATATCCGCTAGCTAGATCTCTAAAGTGGACATTATTAGATCTGGATGTGCTAATAATGACAAGGGCTGGATGTTTATTGGGTGAATGTTGGATTGAGTGTTGCACGCCCTTCAGCAGGAGGATGGAAGCAGTGATGGGTGAGATGTTTGCTCTGAGGCATTAAGAAGATAAGCACTTACTTTTCTCTAAATATTTGTCTTCTTTATTATTTTTTTCATTCTTGACATTTATTTGGATAATGTAGGAACACAGCACCACACTGTGGCTAAAAATGAAAGTTGGAACTTATTTGTTTTTGTCTGTAAAAGCCAAATCTGTGCATTAGACAGGAACAGACAAAAACTATGCAAATAATTAAAATACATAAAATACCTCCCCCCAAAAAGCACCATTTTAAAATATAACAGAGGACAAAGTAATGGTAACAAAACAAAATAAAGAGCTGCCATCAATCTATCTCTTTAGCCCAACACCAGAACCTGCCATGCTGACTAACTCAAACGTTATGCTAAGCTTCCCCCTGACCATTTCTTATTCCTCCAACATTCAGAGCCACCTTGTCTTGTTTCCTTTACTCTTTACTCAATTTTGCACATACAATGTCCGTCTTCTACATGCTGTTACCCATCACAAAGACACAGATGAAAAATCTCAAAACACATCCTCTGTTGAAACAGGATGTTTCTTATTTCCTTTAACTATTCTCGTTGGTAAATCAAACATTAAAGCCTTAAAGACAATGAAATAGTTCATTATTATGGTGAATATGTTATAGAGCCTTTACTTGACGCATCTGGTTTGTCTTAAATTAACTCAGTATTATGAAGCATTACACCTTGAAAATGTGTGAAAATAAAATAACTTTTGTAGGTTTTCATGCATTATTATTATTATTATGATTATTATTATTTAACCTGACGGCTCTGGATATTTAATGCCTGCATTATTCTACTAAGACCTGGTTCACAACAGCAGAGGATCAAAAACTACCAAGCAGAGTCAGTTGGTGTTTAAACAGAAAGACTATGGAGCTCCAAAAACAACAGACTTGAACAGAACAAATAAAATATGCTATTAGTCAAGAAATGACATATTTTTTACTGCAGCATTAATGCCTCCAGAGTAAACAAAGCCCCCTGGTCAATTTGGAGCTTAGTGACAAAAGTTGCGCTTGCTGGGCTGGTGAAGAAAGGTGTTTCTGGCGTGAGCTGCATGGCGAGGGACCTGCTCCCTCGTGCGGTTTTGGCGCTGGATGTGGTTGCGGCTCAGGTGGCGCCGCTCCATACGAGCTTTGTAACGCTGGACCCTGGCCACTTGGGTGACCTTGGCCAGACTATCAGCCTGGGCAGCAGCTCCGCGGCTCACTCTGGTGGGCATAGTGCTGTGGGCCGCAGGGGTAGCAGGTGATTCAGGCCCTCTGCAAAAATAAATAAATAATTAAAAAATAAATAAACACACAAAATAAATAAACAGAGGGGAGATTCCTTTTATTTACACTGAAGAAGGGAGAAGTTAAGTGTAGCATCCATGAATGTTTCTCACCTCACACTGCTAGCCAGGCTGAGAAGACTTTCTTCCCCCACCACGGACAGATTGCTGTTGGAGATGATGGACAGATTGTTTGGGGAGACGTACACGGACATGCTGGGGTGCTCTATGAGCAGGTCTTCCATGGGGCTGGCCTCTGCTGTGGCTCCCTCTGCAGTAAAACAGGGGGGAGGGGTGACAAACCAGCTCTCATCCATGCAGCCCCTTTCCGACCCTGCCCTACTTGTTTCCCCACTGCCCCCGCACTCACTCCCAGACCCAGGGGACATCGATGGGGTGGAGGAGGGTTTGGATAGTCTGGCCCGTCTCAGTTGGCTCACGGGTGTTGTGGCACCTATCGGGCTAGTGTCTGGACCAGACAGGGGGTCTGATGATGCTACCGCACCTCGTGTACGACCTTTATGTGTTCTACGACGCTTGAGAGGTGGGTGGGGAATATGGTCTAGGCACTCAGTCCTGGTTTGTGACCTTTGGTGATCTGGTGAGTTACTGTTGGGAAATGATTGTGCAATCTTTTGAGCTCCCGTCTCATCCTCTGCCTGCATCATGCATTCAGGTTCTCCTGAACACACAGCATGGATGAGATGATGGGTGTTGAGGGGAAGGGAGGGGTGTTGCAAAGCCATTTAGCAAATTTGGCCGATTTTTCAAAAAAAATAAACCCATGCAGGATGAGAAGGGTCATTTTTGTTTTGAAGGGGTCACATACGCACGCGCACACATACCAGTGTTGGGGGAATAAGAGGGGAAATTTAAATAATTGGAAAGGGGGGAAGGGGAGGGGGAAGGGGACACAAAACATAAAGGAGTCACATTGTTAGTTGTGTTGACCCTCTAAGATTGTGTTTATGTCAGTGACATCATGTTCGTCCTGCTGAGAAGAACTTTTATCTTTCCTGTTCGGCTCCAGAACACCTAAACATCTTTTATACACCCAGTAATCATCTTTGTCATCATGCACTTGTGCCACGCCCAGACTGATCCCCCCGTTCCAACACCCCCACCCCATTCATACCTACATCTAAACTATACCAATGCAAGACAGAATAAAGGTACTGCTTGAGTTATGATGACACACCAACCCCTGCAGTCCTATCAGACTCACCAGTCAGGTTGACGAGCATCCATCCCTCCTCGTCTGCCTCCGTCACACATGGATTGGGTCCCTTCAGCTCTGCTGCCACCTCCTCTACCTCCCCAAACAGCAGGTTGCTAAGACGCTGAAACATTGCTTCCTGTATTGTCAAGTTTTGATGACTGGTGTGGTCAGTTGTCTATGAAGAAAAAGCTATAGCTGCCCCCTTTTTTGTCTCTTTATTTATATGTAATAGTTTAATGCTGTTCTTTGCCTGATTTCCTTGTTTCCACTCAAAGCCCTGTGCTTGATCTTGGATTTTACAAACAGGACCAAGCAGGCTTCTGTAGTGCAAATGTAAGGTTTCACTTGGTTTGGAACAAAGGCCTGAAAGAGAGAGAGAGAGAGAGAGAGAGAGAGAGAGAGAGAGAGAGAGAGAGAGAGAGAGAGAGAGAGAATGGATAATTAGTTGCTATAAAAATGATCTATCGTGTTGACATTTACAGTATAAACACAAAAAATTACACTAAAGGTCAAACATTATTTGAGGAAATACGTTTTATGTCAGTTTAAAACAAACATGACGTCAAATTTTGAATTAACTTTGTTTAAGTTAAATCAGTTTTTAGAAAGAAAGAAAGAAAGAAAGAAAGAAAGAAAGAAAGAAAGAAAGAAAGAAAGAAAGAAAGAAAGAAAGAAAACAATCTTTTTTATAGTGCTTCTCAAGATAAAAATCATGAGGTGCTTCACAAAAAAATTAAAGTATAAAATATTTAAAAATATGTTTAAAATGAGAGAAAACAATCAAATTTGTGATAAAAATAATAATTTAAGGAAGGGAAAGAGAAAATGAATAGGAAAGAGGGAAACCAGTAGATCCCGGGAAAGCGGAATAAGTAGAAAGAGCAGAATAAGGAGAGCGTGGTGACGAAGGTCACGCAAAAGCCAGCATGAACAATTGAGTTTCAGCTGCTTTTTAAAGCCAGGGCGAGTGCAAGTTATGGCTGCCATCTTGAATTTTTTCATAGTTTCATAACAAGTGGTTCATGAGACATTTAAGTAAAAGTCAGACTCCAATAATGAAGGCAGGCAGGATCACTAATCCTAATCTATTATGAGGTAAACTGCAGGAGTAAATGATTACAGTGAGAGTTCCTATTGACTTGTTCAGATTAGACACAGTGTTGATGAAATAACACTTTGCTTTGTTCAATTAAAGAATATTTCACTTTTCTTTAATTATATAAAACTAATATAATTAAATTAAATTAAAAAACAAACAGCCTACATACTAAACTAAATACTGACAGGCTTATTAATGGTGTCTTCTCAGTCTGTTTACTTCATGATAAGCTGCACTGTGACATGCATTAGCAGATTAACATTGGGTCACGTTTGCTAACACCATGAAAGAAAAGTAATTTATGGAGGAAGAAATGAATCAGCATCAAGTAACTTGTACAACAACAGGCCTCCCTTCCCCCCATTAGATTCAGATAACCAGTCAGCTCTCTCTCAGGACAGATGGACAAGCCACAGAAGAGCAAGAGGAGGAGGGGGTGAAAGAAGGTCAAAGAGACAAATTCCTCCAACAACAAGCAAAGTGCAAATGTTAAGTTACCAAGAAAACCAGATCCACAGTGACAGCAGCTGCAGAGGCAGAGAACAAGTGCCTGACCTAAAAATGAACACGATGAGGTAATGAACACTGGAACAGTCATAGTTCACCTGGAGAACAACGTTGTGTTCAAAGGCCAGGTTTCATGTACTTTAACTGTCACAGTGTAAATAATGCTCCCATATACCTCTATAAAGAGCTGACTCACTTTTAATTCTCAGATTAAATTGATTTATTTTAGTTTTTGTTTGAGTTTTAATCCTGCAAAAGTTTCCATTTGAAATACCAATCGACCTCACCATAGCCTAATTCCCTTTTAATGTCTGAAAAATCAAAAATGACAGATATGAGTAATAATTCATGTGCTTGGAGGGGGTGAGCTGAGTGTGAAGCGCAGTTATACATTAACCAACACTTTACTGCAAATGATCACTTCATGTTAAATAGGGAAAACCTTAACAAATAAAATTAATTTTGGTTATTAGTAATCAACTAAATACTTCTTTTCAGGAATCTGCTGGATGAGGTGTTAAATGATGATTTTGATTGAATTGCACTCTCGAAGCAATCAAAACGGAGACAATGAGACTTGTTTAAATTTAACTTTACATTCTTCTCCTTGAGACATCTGGACTGTTTCACACATGCCTGATTAAATCTGTTAATCAGCTTGGAGATATAAGTTAGCTCAGAGGGCATCTTCTGGTGTAAATAAAACTATTGAAACACACATAAATAAAAAGATTTACTAGGCAGATTTTTTTATACATTCATAATTTGATTATGTAAAATTTAAATTAGAGTCCATTAGTTAATGCTGGGTCTACTTCAAAAGAGAAAGCTGAGATATTATGGTTAGATTTCACTGTAAAAGCATGATAGTGAGTTGATGATAATCAGATAACTTGCATGGACTTCTGAAATTCCTTTACTGCACAGCCCTTAATCTTCAACAGGCTGTGACTGTGTGAGAGCCTTTTTAAATGTACTCTGTCAATGATTAGATCAGCCATGTTAAAACTACTTAATATTTGAGTTAATGCAGGGAAATATAAGGAGACAGTATAAAAATGTCCCTTTGTGAGAGTTCTTCCTTCTAGCAGAGGAGTGGGAGGAGCCGAAGGAGGGGCGTGGGCGGGGCCTGGCAAAAAAAAAAAAACAACAAAAAAAAAACAAGAAGCCTGTGACGTCCCTTCACGTCACGTCACGAACGCCGAAAGAGAGGCTTCATCTTATTTTTTCCTCTCCGAACAGAAGAAAACGTTTTAAAGTCTTGACAGCAAGCACAATATTCGAATTTAAGACCTACACAGCTTTTTCTTCGACAATCTGCCTTTTAGGGTCTGCTTGTCCAGAACCCACTGCTGTCGAGCGTCCTTTAGGAAAAACAGACCGAGGATTTTCTTTTATTTAATTATTTTTTTGAATGCGCTTGTAAATAAAAGCAACCCGTCGAACTCGACTTCCTAACAGAGGAGAGGACTGTAGGTTATCCAGGTTTAACATGAATTATCCGTGTAAGCTCCAGCTGAAGGGTCAAAGCAATGACAGCTGTGGCTCAGTCTCTGCACAAATAAAATAAGCAACTGGATCGGCTTTTGGTAACACAACGACTCGCGGATGACACTGAATTATACATTTTTGTCTCTTTAAAAAAATAAATTATGAAACACCCGGCCTGCGTGAAGCACCGACACAAACAGCATTTGGTGCATTTAGCAGAACAGGCTGCTACTGATGCACCACAGTTAATATATCTGGTGTCATTTTTTATTTATACTGACATGGAATTGAAGCCTTTTGAGTTCGATGCTGCTTGCACATATACCCATGTCCTAATAATAGAACATCACTGGTTATAACACAGACGCCTATAATATGGGTCACCGGCAGACAAAGCAGTCTAATTCCTCCAGAACTTCATGTTCTCCGGTTTCCCGACTGCAGACAGGCTGACTGGTGGCTTTCAGAAGGATAGATCCTCCATAAGAAATCGCTGGCAAAAATGTACTTGATGTACTTTGATTCCTCTGTGGAGCAGACACAAAGACATCAGCTTAGGTTAAAGGAAGCAGGACTTACCAGCCTTTGAAGTGTATTATTCAAGTTGTAAACGAGATCTCACACACAGTAGAAACGACAACTCTTAAAGCATAGCTTTAGGTAGCCTTTAGGTGAGGTAGCTAAAACACTATTATAAAAAAAAATAAAAGGCGTTCTTCTTAGAAGAAGGGCTTCGTGTAATAAAAAATTACACCGATGTTCTCAGATCATAACATCTGCAGCTTTTCCTACTTCCTTTCCTGTTTTTCTTTCTTCCGCTGCAGAATTTCCTCTGTTTATTGCTGCCTCCAGCTGATCCGCAGATCAGAATGTAGAACGTACAAAACAGCTGATTGTGAGATCACAGACCTTTCTGTGGCACGCCCATTACCCCGCCCACTCCAAAGCAGGCGGCCAATCAGAATATTACACCCGCAGCACCGCTGAATCCTCTTGGTAACAGGGTGTGAGGAGGCTGGGAGGGCTGTCTTGTCAACCTGGACCCAGAGGAAGGCAGAGGCTGATCCCGGATCTGCTGCCGTTCTCCAGCAGCATGTTGTCAGAAAGCTGCGAGGGGGGATGGTAAACTGACCCATTGTCAGCTAACAGAGCTGCATCCAGAACAAGAAGTGAATGAAGATCTGTTGACAGCAGAAGCATTAAACCACCCACTTGGTGTTTCATAAATTATATAAAAGTTCTGGACAAATATAGCTTTTATTTAAATAAATATGTAATTTCCTCTTCAATCTCTTCTTAGACATTAACACTCTGGAGGCAGGCGTTGCACATTTGCAACGTTAAAACCTACCTACCTTGTTACTCCGCATACGTATTTCATGAGCATTTTTTAACTCAGAAGTGCCCCTGAAGGACTTATAGTTGTTCGTCCGTTTATTAAATTTTAATTTTGAGTCTGAGAGGGTTAAATCGTATTTATGAGACTGACAATTCCCTTAAACAAATATAGGGCTCAATTATTCAAACTAATAAACAAAAACAGGAAGCTTACAAGTCTTCCTGGTTCAGTGATGCTGGGGCTGTTGCTTTAAATTTGATATGTAAGTAGACCATGTCTCCCTCCCTCTTTATTCTTTTCACCCTGTCTGAATGAGAAGGACATAAATGTGGATTTCCTTTCATATCAGCAGTCATAAGGGCTTTTTTTTTTATGAATGCAGCCTTGGGACCACCAATGAGCTGTCTTGCTGTGTAGAAAAATCCCTGGTGGTCCTTTTTTCTCCTCTGTAGTGTTATGTTTGTGATTACGTCTCAACGAGTTTATAGTGAGTTGTGGAAGAGTTTAGCTCTCCCATCTGAAGCCCTGCAGGAATCAGGATATCTCATTTTATTTGAAGTTCACCACTGGGTTTATACGTATATGATGTATACAAACAGGGTTTAGTATTTCCTGGTACAAATAAAAAATACCTTATTTGTGTTTTAAGTGGTCTACTAATCAAGTTTCCTGGTGTTCTTTCAAAGACTTTTTTATTCAAGTCCTTGTAATTGACATTCCTCACATAAATAAATTAATGTTTTCTAAACATCAGAACGGTGTCATCAATCATTCAAGCGTAAAGCATTTAAAATGGACAGTTGAATCAGTATCGTGACAGGCAACGTAACTCAAAGGTGCTCTGTCATGTTTTCTATAGGCAGCAAAAAAGAGAGCCAAAGCTAGAAGGGATTGAGTTTTTAGCCACAGCAGACTGATGAACGGAACAATTATGCATCTGGAAGAAATGTACTAGTTTAATCCTGTTTGTCAGCTCAAGAGTAGAAAAGACTTGAAACAAATGAAAATAAGTTAACCTTGCCTATCCAGATCCCTGTTCTGTGTCATTTAGATTTCAAAGTATTTTATTTTTCTGGTTTTGCAGAATTGTACACATGATTTCCTCTCGGTTTTAGATCAAGCTAATAATAAACCATTGTATGGTTTCTGCAAACACAAACACCTTCATCCTGACCTGCTACGATAATGGCCGTCATATCTGAGGAACTCTGAACACATTTAACTAGAACAGTTTGTGAATCTGTGTTTGTGTTCTTTAGCTGCAGGAGAAGTCACAGACCTGGTAGCACTCATTGTGTCATGTCCTTATTGTACATCTAGTCGTAATAAACTTAAATCAGTTGCAAAAATGAGTACATCACTTTTTTTTTCTCAAATAAGTGGAGCTTGAACCAACTGAACAAGGAAGGTTGTCTGACTCCTCTTTTTTTCCCCGTAATCCGTCCTGGAGCTGTCATGGATGTTGCATGACTTCACAAGATTCCCACAGCTTTCTAAACTGGTTTGATAACTGGGTGAAAGGTTAAAGCATGACTTCTCTCTTTTTGTTTATCAGTGATCATAGATGTGACACACAACTCCTGATCAGCCAGTTCTCACTCTAACAAACCAAGCTTAAGGTCAAGTCAGACACATATCATGTTGATGTCTAAAACAGACGGTGCTTCATACGGCAGCTTCGTAGGGTTACTCGGTGAACAATCAAATCTTAATTTATTGTTGTGTTTGTGAAGAATAAAAGTCGTCTTCTGTTTGGATATATTGAAATTGATCACCTAATAGCAGAGAGCAGATATTCTTTTGTTGCCATACAGTGAGAAAAATCAAAATAATTAAGTGAAATCACAATATTTATCATGCATTTCCAATAGGATGTAGTTCACCTCTCTTTTATGTGTTCTGTTGGTTATATTTTGGTGGCCCGCTCTTCTCCAAGGCTTCTCTGCTGGCCGATGATAAGGCAGGAGCCCGTGAAGATAGGAGGTTGCATCACCACAACCCCACACAACTAGCTGGAAATTAAATATATTTCAAAGGGAGGTGGATGCTAATTAGTTTCATGTTACATAAAAAAAACATGGCTGCTTCCTTCCTAAGTCATTTTTTCTGTATCTTGTATCTTTCAGTGACCCACAGCACACAGGCAGAGGGAAGGAATGAAACATTAATTCAAACCCATATTCAGCAATATTAGAAACTTCAAACCGAAGTGAGACGGTCCACTGCAACGTCTGGAGGCCTGTGGACCTGGATAAAAATGTCCTTTTTGTGTCTCATGTTGCATTCAGCTTGTCTCTACTTGCAGCGCTCTACAGTCCCCAGATAATCCCCGTCACATAAAACCTGTCTGCTTTTTCTTACTCAGCACAGACAGATGGCATTATGGCGCTTTTGTCTCCATTCTGGATTTATTCAACCAGAGGACAACTGACGACTCGTTGTCCTGCTCTGAGAGGCGTCTCCAGAACCAGACCCAGAGAAGTCTTACCTACTTCCTGTAGATCTGTCCCTACAAGGCCAGAGCACACGGGGTCTGGAGCTGTGTCCTTGGCAGGGTGCACACTGATAAACACCAAGAAGAACATGCTGTACTCATCAGAGGGGTATACCCTCTGGAGGGTATCACAAAACCTAAACAGGAGGGATTTTTGAGTTCCCTAAAATCTAAATGGTACCAGATTAGAAAAAGCATTTATACCTGCCAGTATTTTACTGCACATAAGTTTATAATTTGATTTTCAAACTGGCCTGGGAAGAACAGGATTCCTTAGGTGAAACTCTTTGATATGCTGACTAAAATCGCATAAAAGAATAAATCTGAGGAGGGAAATATTAAACCAAAGCAACAAATTTCTACTTGGATCGATTAAAATAGTCTCCTAAAATAATCTTCTAAAAACTAAGAAATGTGCTGAATATGGAGTTGGTTCTAGAATCAGTGACTGTAGAAGAAGAATCTAAAATTCATGTAAAAATCATATCTTGAAGTAACGTGACCACCTCCAGAGTTGAGCAAGATACTTTTAAAAACTTGCGCACAGCTACTAATAACAGGGGATGTAGCTCAGTGGTAGAGCGCATGCTTTGCATGTATGAGGCCCCGGGTTCAATCCCCGGCATCTCCAGTGTTTTTTATTTTCCCACATTTCTCCTATATGATCGACACTTTCTATGTTGAACCCACTTGTTTGTCTCAAGAATAGAAATATACCATTCAAGATGATTTTTTTAAATTAATTTCACTATTTATTTAATGTGATGATCAGATGCTTCTTTCTCGTTTAGATGCAAATCTGTAAATAACCAAGGATCAATAGTGATATTTAAATTGTCTTTTAAAGTATTATACTTTACTACCTTTTCAACTTTCATATAATTATTAGATTTAACAAACGAGTTTTAAAATTTGAACGAGAAAAGAGGATTGGTTATTATTTGCCGCCCTCTTGTGGTTAATTTAAGCAATGCTGATTTGATCACTTATTAGTTGAGTATGGCCCCTGACAGCAGTACGCAGATCGGGCGGGGCGCAACGTGGGCCGCGCGGGCGCCATGTTGAAAATACCCATGTTGAGGCCGGCCGCCTTTTTAGATAGGTCTCCTTCGCCCCAGTGTAGTCATTTAAATTTCTACAGAGGAACGTGCAAACAAACAAACAAACAAAAAAAAAACAAAAAAAAAAACAAAAAAAAAACACATTTTATTAAGCTTTGTCACAAAATCAGATATAGTATGGCATGATAATTAAAAAATAAATATAATTAAACTAAATAAAATTAAATATAAAAATCTATCGGTTAGAATTTAAGTTAGGCACAATGTGGGCAGAGTTAAACGTTTGACCCTGCTCACTGAAACCATAGCTGAAACCACTGAGGAGAGTGTGTGTTTGTGACTGTGACCGAGAGAGAAGTAACACGCAGAAAGGAGGTAGGTAGGCATGGATTTTCATTCAGTTTTAACGATACTAAGCATTAATGTTGTGGCGAAAATGTTATTAACCTGGACTTAAAAAGTCTTTTTCTGAGTTTTAGTAATGTAATGGTATTAACTTGACTTAAAAATTATTTTTCTCAGTTGTACATTGTTAAGATAGACTTTAAAAGTCTTATTCTGAGTCCTAGATTAATATAATATTTGGCACTGTTGATAAGAAATATAGCTTTGGGGAAAAATGTTATGTGATCACTTTTGGGGGGAAATAATATACTTTAAGTGGGGAAAATATGATAGATTTTTATTGTTGTTACATGCTCAATATAAAATAAAGTAAGAATAAAGTAAAACCAAATTAACTAGTTAGCAACTAATTAGGTAATTTTGTGATTTAAGCAGACTTGAAAAGGTGCCATTACACATTCTGATAGCCAGCATCTGAGTAATGTGCAGGAAATTGATGTTGGTTGTCGTTGGTAGTCACACTATTGCTTGCAGACTAAAGCATAATCCCTTCACTTATTTCAGGATCTGGAAGTGGTCTCTCCTAAAAGGTTCAGGCTCTCAGAATCTGTCTGTGAAGCATCAGGTATTGTTCAAACTAGTATTATTA